GCCTTAAGCTCTCCGTGGTTTCGCTTACTTGTCGGCAGAAACCAGCTCCGCAGCGATGGCGGCAGTGGCTGTGGACTCTGCGTCCATCGTTTCCCTGAGGTGGTGGTTCAGCAGACAGAATGCAGCCTGTGAGAAAACAGGGAATTTGGGACGCCTGAGACTTACACGGGGACAGAAAATGGCAGATTGGAGACCCCGCGCGGCTGGGCCCTCTTATATATCGGGGCCTTTTGCCCCGCCCATCCACTTCCGGATCCTCCCCCTCTAGTTTAAAGGGCCAGCGTTCAGCCCAGTCTAACCCAAGGACACCCCCCAACCTCGCTTCTGGCTCTCCGGGTACCTTTCCTCCCTGGCTTGCCCTCCCCCCAAAAGCAACTTCCAGCAAGTCGCGTAAGAACTGCAATCTTGGTACTACAACTCCTGACTGGGTGCCAGCCAGCGACTTCCACAGAAAGGGAAGCTGGTGCTGCTGCTCTTTATGTTTGGAACGAAGAGCCGAGGGTCTGTTTCCGGCCCGGATAATCCGGAGGTGTCAGAGCCTTTCTGTCCGTCCCCGCAGTCGTAACGGATGGACACGCAAAAGCTGAGCACGGGTACAGTAGTAACGGCTAGAACTGATCTCGGTGGGGGACGCGTGGCTGTGAGCCTCAGCAACAACTGACCGAAGGAGATGCTATTCTAGGATTGGCTAGCGCCGAAACTACCGCGCTTGATTCAAAGCTCAGTACTGCTGCGGGAGGTGGCTGGCTCCTCCCTCTGGGCCCGTCCCCTTCGGCTGGCCCAATCCGCTGACGCCATCCCCTTAAGCCCTACCCAGACTCCAAATCTTAGGGTTCTTTTTTTTTTTTTCCCCAGGGCTCATCTCCTTTATTCTTTTATATATATATAAATATATATATTTATATTTATATATAATTTATTTATTTTTGTTACAGATGTTTCTCCTTTTTCCCCCACTGATTCCCCCCTCCCTCTCCCTCCCTGCCCTGTCCCCAGCTTTGTTGTCCATGTACATTTAGTTTAGTGTTCTTAGCTTTTTCCCCGTCTGCTCATTACTAAGATTTGTTTGCCTACTACGTGTGAGGGTAGTGTGCTTAGACACTTTGAAACTATTAACGGTCTTATTTAATCTTAACAATGCTACTAGTCAGATCGGTGTTATCAACCCCATTAGGTAGAAATACAACCCCATTAGGTAGAAATAGAAACCATGGTTCAGGGAGGGTGTGACTTGCTCAGAAAGTTGCAAGCCAAGTCGGTTCTGGAAAGCAGTGCGCCTCATTTTTCTCAACTCAGTGGAAAGATAACTGGCAAACTAAAATGGTTGCACTTCCCCACACCTGGAGAATCATCCATTGTGATCCACCATGGCCTTGCCTACAGTGATCAAAATACGATTTTATTTACGTCCAGGTTCAGGCACCCTGGTAAAGATTCCAGGGGAGGATTCTTATTTTAGTCTGTCAAGGCTCAGGCAGGTTGAAATCTTTGGGGGTATAGAGCTGAATTGAAAATGCCAGTTCCTGCCCTGGCCGGTTTGGCTCAGCGGTTAGAGCGTGGGCCTGCGGTCCTGAGAGACCCGGGTTCGGTTCCGCTAAGGGCACGTACCTCGGTTGCAGTTTGTCCCCGGCCCTGGTCGGTTGTGCGGGTGGCAGCCACTTGATGTGTCCCTTTCACATCGATGTTTCTCTCTCCCTCTTTCTCTGTTCCTCTCTCTCCCTCCCACTCTACCTGAACAAAGAATGGAAAAATGTCCTCGGGTGAGGATAAAAAAAAAAAAAGAAAAGAAAATGCCAGTTCCTGTGGCAAACAGACATGGGCTCCTCCGTTGTTAACTGGGTGATCTCATCCAAGTCATGTAATCTTTTAAGATTAAATGTAGCCCTAGCCAGTGTGGCTCAGTTGTTTGGAGCGTCGTCCGGTACACCAGAAGGTAGTGGGTTTGATTCCCAATCAGGGCACATACCCAGATTGCAGCAAATTCGATACCATCTTGGGGATGTGCGGGAGGCAACTGATGTCTCTCTCACATCCTCGCTCTCTAAAAATCAATAAATAAAAATCTTTGTTAAAAGATTAAATGTAAAATTAGAACAATATTCGTATCCAACCCTTAAGGATATTGTGAGCGGGGGGATCAGGAGAAGAGTGTCAATGAGGGAAAAGGGAGAAACATCTGTAACAAAAATGCACTAATGAAAAATTAAAAATAAGAAGGATATTGTAAGAATTAGCGGTACTGCTTACTTCAACAGTAAGCACTGTACCTGGCTCATGCTACCACAGTCTGATAACATGATGACTGCAGAGCTGGGGAGAAGGAAGGAGGGAAAAATCTCTCCGGAGTCCTTGAAGCCAGGGCCAAGGCCTGAAAAACAAAGTCCAATAACTTGTGTGACCCCTACATCCATTAAACTAATATTGCCAGCAGGTATAGCTCAGTGGATTGAGCATTGTGTCATGCACCAAGAGGTCATGGGTTTAATTCCAGGTCAGGGCACATGCCAGTGTTTCCCTCTAGACCCCCACTAGAGGGCATTCAGGAGACAGTCAATCAATGTTCTCTCATAGATGTTTCTCTCTCTCTCCCTTCCTCTTCCTCTCTCTCTAAAAAAAAAATCAATAAACATTTTAAAAAACCCAGTATTGTTCTGGCCAGTTTAGCTTAGCAGTTAGAGCAAAGGCCCATGGACCAAAGAGTCACTGGTTTGATTCCCAGTCAAGGGAACATACCTGGGTTGGAGTTTCCAACCCGCCCCGGTGTGGGTTGTACAGGGGGTGGTGACCAATTGAGGTGTCTCTCTTACATCTTTCTCTCTCCTTTCCTCTCTCCCACTCTAAAATAATTAATTTAAAAAAACTAATATTCACTGAGCAATTATGATGTGCAAAACTTTGTACTAGGTCATAAGGACAAAAAGCATTGTCTCTGCCTTTGAGGAACTCAGTCTTATGAAAAATATTTTTATATTGGTTTAAAATCCATCCACTTCTCTCAGTTTTTACTACTACCACTCTGATCCAAGCCTAGCCACCATCATCTTGCCTATACTACTATAGCCTCTGGTTTCTGCTTAACCCTCTCCAGAAAAATATTTTTTTAATGTAAATCAAGTTACTGGCTTTCCATTGCTCTTAGAAGAAATTTTGAGCTCCTTATCATTGCCTACAAGGTCCTACATAATCTGGTTCTATTCACTTCTCCAAATTCATCTCATACTACTCCCCTTCCTTAATTATATTCTTACCATGCTGGTCTCCTTTCTGTTCCTCAGAATGCCCAAGCCCTTTGCACTTGCTGCCTCACTGCCTAGAAAGCTCTTCTCTTAATACTTTGAGTGATTAGTTCCTATTCATCTGTTAGGCCTCATCTTAAACAAAGGGAAGCTCATTTTGATTGAGATCAGGCCTTTCCTGCCCACTCTATCAATATTAGCTTCCCTTTGTTTGTTTCTTCCATTATACTTATCAAAATCTAAAGTTATTTACTTAGATTTTTACCCTCTTCCCCGTCTAAGTATGTAGGCTCCATTTGACCTTTTCTGTTTTGTTTACAGCTAAATCCCCAATGTATACAGTAGTGATTGACTCATACTATGTGTCCAAAGTGAACTTGTTGAATGAATGAATAAAGCAATAATAGTGTAATCACAATTAGAACTGGAAATTTTTCACTCAAAATATATTTACTTAAGCCCTGGCCGGTTTGGCTAGCATCAGCCTGCGGTCCAGAGACACCCAGGTTCAGTTCCCGCTAAGGGCATGTACTTCAGTTGCAGTTTGTCCCCAGCCCTGGTTGGGTCGTGCGGGTGGCAGCCACTTGATGTGTCCCTTTCATGTCGTTGTTTCTCTCTCTCTCTCTTCCTCTCTCTCCCTCCTGCTCTGTCTGAATAAAGTGTTTATTAGTGAATAATTTCATATTATAACCTTTGCTTCCTTATATGGGCTGAATTGTCCTCCTCCCTCAAATTTATATGCTAGTACTCAGAATGTGACTGTATGTGGAGACAGCGTTTATAAAAAGGTAATTAAGTTAAAATGAGGTCATTAGGACGGGCCCTAGTCCAATGACTGGTATCCCTACTAGATAGATGCATACCAGGAAAGACAATGTAAAGACAAGGAGAAGATGGCTGGGCACAAGCTAAGGAGAGAGGCCCTCATGTCTCTCAGAAAGAACCAAGTCAGCTAACACTGTGACCTTCCACGTCTAGCTTCTAGAACTGTGAGAAAATAAATTTATGTTGTTTAAATTATTCTGTGGTATGATTTCAGCAACTAATACACATCATACTCAAACTACCTCATAATTGTGGAAACATGGATCATGAAAGTGTGAAGGAGCTATGGAATCATATAGTAAGCCACCTGGGTAGGGTGAGATCAGAAAAGATGTTCTAGAGAAGTGACAGCTAAACTGAACATTTAAGTAATAGGTGTTAACCCATACAGTGGGCCAAAGGATATAATGTTCTAGATAGAAAGGGCCAGAGACAAAAGACTAACTTCCAATATGCCTCCCTCTATCTACTTATCCTTCTAATCCACTGCCCCAGGGTTGTTTCTAAGACATAAATCATAACAAGTTGTTCCCTCAAAACTCTTCCATGGTTTCCCACAGCATTCAGGATAAAAAAAAAAACAAAACACCAGCCCTAGCCAGTTTGGCTCAGCAGTTGAGTGTCAGCCTGCAGACCAGAGAGTCCTGGGTTCGGTTCCTACCAGGGGCACGTACCAAAAAACAAAAACAAAAAACCCACCAAATCTTAACCCACTCTCCTAGCCCCTCAATCACCAGCTCCTGCCTAATTCCAGCATTACTTTGTCATTCTACTTTTGCTCACTTTCCGTGTCTGTCACACAAACCTTTAGGTTTTCCCACATTTTCTTCATTTCAAGGCTTGTCCCTCAAGCTACTCAATTTGCACAGAATACTATTCCTACTCTCACCTCATTTAACTAATGAATTCCTCTTCATCCTTCAGATCTGTTGATTAAAACACTAGGCTTCTCTGGGACCTGCAGGCTGTGGCGGTCTCCCTTCCTAGCCTGGGAAGAGCATTTTCTTGTTTATTGGCAAAGCTGTCACCATTTAATTGGTATCAGTTTCTGACTTGCACAAGTAACATTCTTCACTCTTAAAACCCTGGAGGATGCGGGGTTGATGCGCAAAGGTCGATTTCTCAAATGTTGTTGGACTCACTGTCCCAATGGGTGATGGAAAACAAGGGATCAGGAGAAATGCAGTGACATGGGTGGAGTCCCCTTTAGCTTCCTGCAGTGCACGCACGGGACAGCCATGATTTCAGAGCTCGGCAGCTCCAGGATTGGGCAAATGATGTTCTGGAGGTCGTCAAGGCAGTATTTTCAGTATAGGCCTGAATGTTGTTTTAAGTAGAGAATAGGTGAGCGCTTCCTTGTTGTAATTAAATAAAATGCTTGGCTCATCCCGAAAAAAAAAAACACTAGGCTTCTCACGGTACTTTTTCACAGCACTATTTCCCATTGTAATTACACTAATTATTCAATTACTTTAAAGTCTCTCCTCAAATAGACTACAGGGACTTACAGATCTTGGTTATAGCTATATCCCCGGGGTCTAGCATTGTGCCTAACCCATATAAGTACCCAATAAATATATGTTCACTAAAGAGCAATGGTTTGATGGGAAAACTAAAGAGTTTGGTGTGACTGGAGTTAACAGGGATTTTCATAAAACCCTCCTAAAATCAGTGGCCTCTAGAACAATGGTTCTCAACCTTCCTCATGCTGTGACCCCCCAACCATAAAATTATTTTTATTGCTAATTCCTAACTGTAATTTTGCTACTGTTACATCTTGGGCAACTCCTATGAAAGAGTCGTTCAACCCCCAAAGGGGTCACGACCCCAGGTTGAGAACCGCTGCTCTAGTGGGACTATTAGTATATAAGATAGGACCTTAGGTGCAGAGTGACAAGCTTTGGGGCTGACTCTTCTTCCTTCAGGTAGCCTATGCACAGACTCCAGTGTCTCAGAGAAAAAGCCAGGCCCCTTTCCTGATTTTTCAAGCTATTAAATTGGCTCTTCATATTCCTAAGCCTGGACACTGACCAGGGTAGGGGATGGGGTGAGAACTCAAGATTCAGGTCCAGCAGTGCACAGGACTCCCAATGCCCTGTTATCAATACCGAGGTGTTCAATTTGGGGGATTCTCAGTAAGAAAGCTGGGGGACCACAAGCAGACAGCATGCAGTGGTAACAGCTGCCAGTAGATGGCGCCAGTCCACTAATGTACCCAATTCAGAAAAGCAAAAGTAGAATCCAGCTCCATCCTGGTTCCTCCAGAACCAAGAAAGACAAGGAGTTTGGGTTCAGGGCAGGTAGTACCCAGTATCCCTAAGGGAAATGGTTTCCATACCAAGTCTGACCAGGCAAATAAGACAATAAACAGTATAGGTGTTCCAATGGCTTTATTAACTCGCTCTTTCTGGGAGTGGCAGGACCTAATAGCTGGAGGGCAGGACAGGAAACCAGGACACTGTGGTTTCAGTATAGGTCATTAAAGGGGTACAGAGGGTGCCCTGCATCTCTTGGAACCCTCTTTCCATCCACCTGGAAAGAAAGACAGACATATGACCCCATTAGGAGTTAACATTTCAAAGACGCAGGGCATCTTTCCCCAAATCTTCCTGAATCTCACTTGTGTATAGCACAATGCCAGATGGTAGTGACAGGGCCCCAGCCTCAGATAATGCCACAGTATTAACAGCATTTCCACCAAACCCATAGCTGGTACATAAAGTTTATAGTCTCAGCTGGGAAGGAACTATTTATTTCCTTACGTGCAACAGGCTTCAACCCAACTTCGATCCTTCTAACAAAGTTGAGAATGCCTTCTACACTCTCCTCATTAATATCATTTACTAAGATTTTTCTGTGTCAGGTACTGGAGTCATTTTACAGATAGAAAGCTTAGGCTTGGAGAAGTTAAATAATGTTCTAGCTTATAAGATATAGAAAAGCAGGACTGGAACTCACAGGCTATATTACTTATCCCTTAGTTATACTACTTCCCCAAGTTGAATAAAAAGCCATTGTGCCCTGGCCGGTTTGGCTCAGCGGTTAGAGCGCTGGCCTGCGGTCCAGAGAGACCCGGGTTCGGTTCCCGCTAAGGGCATGTACCTCAGTTGCAGTTTGTCCCCAGCCCTGGTTGGGTTGTGTGGGTGGCAGCCACTCGATGTGTCCCTTTCACGTCTATGTTTCTCTCTCTCTCCTTCCCGCTCTATCTGAACAAAAAAATGGAAAAATGTCCTCGGGTGAGGATTAAAAAAAAAAAAAAAGAAAGAGCCATTGTGTCCAGAATAGTAATCTACCAACACCATTCTCCCTCTCTCTGACCAACAAGGTTGAAGCCAGACTTGGGCCAGACTGATTTGGGCAGGGTGAAACATACCATAAGCAGGGGCACGATATATCGGCAATTTTTATTCAGGGAATCCAGCTGCTTCATCTCTTCTGGGCTAAAGGTGAAGTCAAATACCTGGGGATGGAGAGTGGGGGTAAGGAAAGCCAGCTTTGGAAGTCGGGGTTCCAGAACACTTCCTTCTTAGCCTGGCAAAGTTGGGGCCAGACTGTGTCCCAAAGGGCTAAAGAAGATAGGACCCATCACCAAGTACCTGGATGTTCTGAAGGATACGGGAAGGTGTGACACTCTTGGGGATGGAGATTACTTTCCGCTGGACCTGCCACCTAAGGTGGGGGGTTGAGGTAGATGAGGAAGGAGTCAGTATTCAAAAGCATTGTTTTGTCTTCTATGTAGCCTTTTCTCCTGGAGTCCCTGAGCCCCCCTGGAATGGGGAATATGCTTCAGAGTGGCCTCCCCCAGATCACATGGCAAGAGTCTCAGCCTCATCCAGACACTTGGATAAGGAACCCCTAAACCCTTGTCTCCCAACCCAGGAGCCCAATCCCTGACCTGGCCTCCTTTCCCCAAGATTGCCTGCACCTGAGCAAGATCTGGGCTGGAGACCGGCCATACTTTTCAGCCAGTGCCAGGACCACTGGCTCCTCAAGCAGGACAGGTTCATCAGGATCACGCCAAGCACGATCAGAGGAGCCCAGAGGGCTGTAAGCAGTCACCTCCAGGCCACGTGCTTGGCAGTGGGCAATCAGCTCGTGCTGAGCCAGATATGGGTGACATTCCACCTAAGCCAAGAAAACAACCCATCACCATAGGGTGGCCACATCCAGCTTGCCTGGCTGCACCATCCTGACCAACATTGCACCACTAACCCCTACTTCCCCTCAGTCCGCTTCTCAACATATTTTCCACTGTCCATTTCATTCTCATCCCACACTTCAATGCCCTTCTTTATTCAGAGGATTCCCGCACCAACATTTCTGACAACTTGCTAGCCATCTCCATGAATTAGACCATCATCTGCTCACTCATGTTCTTGCACATATACACCCCCAAAACAACTGACCTGCTATGCTGTGCTCACCTGCAGGACAGCTGGGCGCACAGAGGCCACACTGAGTAGATCATCAATCTGCCGACTGCTGAAGTTGGACAGGCCCAGTGCCCGCACCAGCCCCTTAGCCACCAGTGCCTCCAGGGCCTTCCAGGTCTCCTTGTAGTCAATGGAGTCATAGCGGATAGTCCCATCAGCATTCTTAGGGAAAGGGTCATCTCCCCGCCTGAGTGAAAGACAGCCCCCCCAGAGTGTGTGGGCAAAATGCCAGGCTTCTGCCATACCTGCCCACCCAGCCACTCTATGCCCCATACTTTAAGCCCAGAAAGGGCAAGGGGCCAAGAATGAGAAAAAAGCATGGTTTTTCACCCTTCCAGATCATGACCCATGTATTAACTCAATATGGAATGGCCATTCCCCCTCTTCTTCCGAGAGGCAGATTATATCTCCTCTCCTCTGGGAAGTCTTCCTTAATGCCTTCCTCCTCAAAGACTTGCATGCTCTTGAGGCCTTCTTCAGGCACAGGTCACAGAGTTGATGGTAAGCTCCTCTCACACCCTCTGCTGGAACTTACTATTTCTTTCTTTCTTTCTTTCTTTTTTTTTTGGTACATGCCCCTAGCTGCTAGGGCCTAGCGGGAACTGAACCCGGGACTCCATGGTCCTCAGGCCGATGCTCCAACCGCTGAGCCAAACCGGCCAGGGCACTTACTATTTATTTCAACCCCAGGGCCTAGTTCAGCAGAAGCCAGTACCTTTCCCGAATGAATAAAGGGAGCAGGAGAACCACTCACGCATACCCTAGATACACCCCATGTGAAGTTGCACTCCTTTTTCTGTAGCTAAACTCCTGGCTGCTGTAGCAAAAAGGGCTGAGTTCCCATGCCAAGCTCCTCAGCTTGCCACACAGATAGTGTTCTTATCCTGCTCTCTACTGTGACTTATGATGTTACTAACATGACTCCCCCAACCCCGAATTCCCTGGATGAAGACCCTGGTAAAGCTCACTCAAAGGCATAAGGCCAGTGTATCAGGTACAGGTCCAAATACTCCAGCTGGAGGTCAGCCAGTGTCTTCCGGAGGGCAGACTCCACATCCTCGGGGTGGTGCTTAGTGTTCCACAGCTTAGAAGTCACAAACAGCTCTTCCCGAGACACTGCCTGGTACAGGGTGCAGGGGCCATAATGAGAAGAGCCATGGGCACCCAGTCTCACCCACCCTCACCTCTGGGATAGGAATTAGAAGGGAGCTGATTTCAGACTCCTCCGGTCAGGCCCCAGCCGCCCTCCCCAGACGCTTAGATCTCTCACCCCATCCCTCTGCGGCCCCTGTCCTCACCTTGCCATGCCCCACATTCTCCTTCAAGGCCTCCCCAATCTCAGTCTCATTGCCGTAGACAGCAGCACAGTCAATGTGGCGGTAGCCTACACTCAGGGCATACTTAACAGCTGCTTTTACCTGCCAAGTGAGAAAAGCAGAGAGTTTCAGCTCTGTTGGTCTGGGCCAGAAACTGCCCTTCTAAGGATCACTGATAGAAAGTGGGGGCGGGAACATACCACTGCAGTCATCCGTGCAGTGGGGGAGACACTATGGAAGATGGTTCTAGTCTTGGGGAAGGGACTAGAAGCCTCAAACCCTTCGTCCCCATCCCACTAAACTCCAAGGTTCTTTCCTACTCAACGAGCTCAGCAGGGCCCAGCAAAAGACTAACAATGTGCTCCCAGCTACATGCTCAGAAGATGAATACATTGACAGAGGACAGAAGTATAGGTCATGGAGAAAGGTTCCCAGCCCTGAGGAGCTGGTTAGGGAAACATGATAAACAGGTAGATAATTACTAGGCCAAGGCCATTTGGAGAAAGACTCCAGGAAGCCATGTAACCATGCAAGCTCTGGGGAATCAGGCAAACAGAAGAGGTGAGATGGGAGAAAATTAAGTTAGGTAGAGAAGTGTGATGGAGGCTGGGCCCAGGGCTTCCTGTCAGAAGAGAAAAATGCAGGTATCAATTACAGGTCAGTTAATTTGCTAAAAACCCAACTAGAAAAATGGCATCAGAAGCAGAACTAGGTACCAGGCCCTTGCCATTCAAGATCCCCATCCAAGACTTCCAGTCAAGATGGCGGCGTAGGTAAACGTGGTATCGCGTCCTCCCACAACCACATCAAAGTTACAACTAAACTATAGAACAACCATCATTCAAAACCATCTGAAATCAAGCTGAATGAAGTCCTACAACTACAGAATTAAAGAAGCAGCTGCATCAAGACTGGTAGAAGAGGCGGAGGTGGCAGGCTGGTCCCACACCCACGTGTGGTGGATAAAAATCAGGAGGACACCTCTGCTGGGAAGGAGGGGTCCCTGTCTCACACCAGGCATCCCGCTCAGGGTTCCAGTGCCAGGAAGAGAAGTCTGCATCACTTCCGGCTGGAAAAACCAGCAGAAACTGAGGCTCAGGGAGGCTGAGGCAGCTGGAGCCCCAGGCAGCTTCTTAAAGGGCCCGCGCACGGACTTATTGGACTTGCTCCCTCTAGGCTTGGAGGGGAGGCAGCTCAATGGGCGCCAGAGACATAAAGGGAAGAACTGAGCTGTTTAGCATTAGAGCAAGGACTGGAGAGGCAGCCTTCTCCAGGACAGATGTGCTGTCGGAGGCCTTGGTTCCTTTGGTGAGCCCTTCCCTGGGGCGGCAGACAGTCGCCATATCTGGGACTCCAGCAACCTGGCTCACACTGGTTGCCCTGGCCTGGTGATTCCCTGAGGCCCTGCCCCACCCAACTTTCAGGCCCACCCAAGCTGTTGCCAGTTGCTTAACCTTAGGATTGGTCTGTCTTGGATCCTGCTTCAGGTTTTCCTAAATTCTTTCAAACAAGCAGCATCTGGTCTCAGCTAGCCCCATATCTCTCCTTAAGTAATACACAGAAACAAACACAGAGAGGCAGCCAAAATGAAGACACAAAGAAACAGGTCCCAAATGAAAGAACAGGACAAAACTCCAGGAAAAGAACTAAGTGAAATGGAGATAGGTAACCTAACAGATGCTGAGTTCAAAATACTGCTTATAAGGATGCTCAATAAACTTACTGAGGGCCTCAAGAGCATTAAAAAAGACCAATCAGAAATGAAGGAGGCACAGTCAGAAACGAAGGAGGCACTAACTGAAATAAAGAATAATTTACACAGATTCAGTAGTACAGTAGATAAAGCCAAGAAGCAAACCATCGATTTGGAATACAAGGAAGCAAAAACATCCAATCAGAACAGCAAAAAGAAAACAGAATCCAAAAAAGTAAGGATAGTGTAAGGAGCCTCTGGGACAACTTCAAGCGTGCCAACATTCGCATCTTGGGGGTGCCAGAAGAAGAGAGAGAACAAGAAATCAAAAACCTATTTGAAACAATAATGGCAGAAAACTTCCCTAACTTGGTGAAGGAAACAGACATACAAGTCTAGGAAGCACAGAGAGTCCCAAACAAGATGAACCCCAAGAGGCCCACACCAAGACACATCATCATCAAAATGCAAAAGGTTCAAGACAAAGAGAGAATCTAAAAACAGCACGAGAAAAGCAGTTAGTCACTTACAAGGGAGTTCCCATAAGACTGTCAGCTGATTTCTCAAAAGAAATTTTGCAGGCTGTAAGAGAGTGGCAAGAAATATTTAGAGAGTGATGAAAAGCAAGAACCTACAACCAAGATTATTCTATTATCCTGCAAAGCTGTCATTTAGAATCGATGGCCATATAAAGAGTTTCCCAGACAAGAAAAAGTTAAAGGAGTTCATCACCACCAAACCGTTATTATATGAAATGTTGAAGGGTCTTTTTGAAGAAAAAGATAAAATATATGAACAAACAAAATGGCAATGAATACATATCTATCGGCAATAGAATCTACAAACAAAATCAACAGGCCGAACAGAAACATTTTCATAGATACGGAGAACATTTTGTTGGTTGCCAGATGGGAGGGGGGTTGGGGGAATAGGTGAAAAATGTGAAGGGATTAAGAACAGCCCTGGCTGGTTTGGCTCAGCGGTTAGAGCATTGGCCTGCGGTCCGGAGAGACCCAGGTTCAGTTCCAGCTAAGGGCACGTACTTCGGTTGCAGTTTGTCCCCGACCCTGGTTGGTCATGCGGGTGGCAGCCACTCAATGTGTCCCTTCACGTCGATGTTTCTCTCTTCCTCTCTCTCTCTCCCACTCTATCTGTACAAAAAAAAAAGGAAAAATGTCCTCAGGTGAGGATAAAAAAAAAAAAGAACAAATTGGTTGCTAGATTGACAAACCTCAAAAAGAAGGGGGTTAGGGGGTGGGAAGAAATAAACCAAAGAACTTATATGCATAACCAATGGACACAGACAACAGCGTGGGAAAAGGCGGGAGGGAGGTGGGCGTGGGGAGGAAGGGGTCAATGGGGTAAAAACTGAAGAACATCTGTAATACATTCAACAATAAAGATTAAAAAAGAAAAAAATAAAGATCCCCATCTAGGTGCAGCTCTTACTATCCAAATATATTTTTCCAGCCCTGACCCTAACCATGCTGCCCCCCTCCTTCTTGACCCTGGCTCTGACCTCCACCCCTAGCTCCTGAATTTGTCCTGGGCCATGTCAGTGCCTGCCTGGAGCACAAAGACCCCGGCTCCAGAGTCCTAGGTAGCTGTAGGAAGAAAATCAAAGGGAAAAAAGGCAGAGGGTCATCCAACCACACCACAAACACTAGTCAAAATCCCAGAGAGGAGCCCAGGAGGTTTGGCTCAGCGCTCAGAGCGTCAGCCTGCGGTCCAGAGAGACCTGGGTTCAGTTCCTGCTAAGGGCATGTACCTTGGTTGCAGTTTGTCCCCGGCCCTGGTTGGGTTGTGCGGGTGGCAACCACTCAATGTGTCCCTTTCATGTCGATGTTTCTCTCTCTCTCTCTCTCTCCCTCCCACTCTATCTGAACAAAAAATGGGAAAATGTCCTTGGGTGAGGATTAAAAAAAAAATCCCAGAGAGAAGAGGCTGTTCTCACTGCCCGAGTCCCTCCCAAACTTAATCCCCAAATTTCTCTAAACTCTGACTCAGATGTCTAAATAAAAATGACAAAGCACTTGGGGAGATGCCCAATGCTAGGTGGATGCTGAATCTCTAGCTGTAAACCCTAGAAAAGCAGGTCTCCGTTCCCAGCCTTCCTACAGCTGAAGGGTCTACATCAGGGGTCATTAAACTCCAGTTCACAGCTGCCTTTTGTTTTTTTTTCAGCCCTGAGCTAAGAATAATTTTTATATTTTTAAATGGTTACAGAAGTACATAGTCACCTCTATTTTGCATCTTGTCCAGCAAAATCTAAATTGTTAACCATCTGGTTCATTAAGGAAAAATTTGCTTATCCTCGGTCTATATACTTGACCTAATTGTTCTTCAAACTCTGACATCTTCTACGTGCCTAACTCTGGAATGAACACAAGTGAGAGAGGCCCACCCTCAAGGAGCCCAGTGTGAGGTAGGAGATATGATCATAGCACAGGGTGATAAATGGCATATTAGGGGTCAGCAAAGGGTCAGACAGAGGGCCCCATGTCTGCCACGGGACTCAGTGCCAATACACTTAGGGAAAGGGTTCCTTCCTATGCCCTTGGCCCTGCTGACACCCTCAGCCCCTCCTCTGAGTCAGCTGGGTAAGCTAAGGGCACACTGTTAGGTCCTTCTTCCCTTGTTTCTTCCCACTGCCCTCCAGGCTCATCCTATTTTAAGTGGAGTACAGAGGTGGGGCTGCTAGGAAAAATGCAGGGCACTCTCAAATACTACCTTTTCCCTAGCAGAGGTGCAGGAAGCCCTCCTCCTTTTCCCCCATCCTCACCTGGCCAGGATTGCTCTTCCAGGTGCCCAGTCCAATCAGGGGCATCTTCTGCCCAGTGTGCAGGAGGACACAGGAAGCTGCCATTGCCTCCTGAAACACAAACAAAAAGAGAATGATATGGGGATCAGTACTGCTTGGGCTTCAGCTACCCACAATTCTCCTCTAAATTGTGAGTAGCAAAAGAGGCACAGAGGTGATAAGACAACAAACATATGGTTGTGTGTATACGCCTGTGAGCAGAGGCAGCTGAGACAAAGTGCCCAGAAATAACCAAAGCCAGTAGCTCCCAGACAAACATTAACCAGACCACCAGCCTGCTGCCCTTCCTTCCACCAGGCTAAAAGTCTGTGTTAAAGAACTCCAGTACCGCCCTGGCCGGTTTTGCTCAGTGGTTAGAGCGTCAGCCCGCAGACCAGTGAGTCTCAGATTCGATTCCAGTCAAGGGCACATACCTCAGTTGCGTTCGTCTCCTGCCCTGGTTGGGCTGTGCAGGAGGCAACCAGTCGATATGGCTCTATCATGTCGATGTTTCTCTCTGTCTCTCTCTCTCCCTGCCTCCCACTCTATCTGATGATAAACAGAAAAATATCCTCAGGTGAGGAATAAAAATTTTTGCAAAAAAAAAAAAAAATTCCAGTACCTAAAAACAAAGGCAGGGTAGCTCCTCAGAAGCACCCAGCCTTAACTACATAAGGTCTCAAGCCAGTGTAAGACAGGTAAAGGCCATTATCAGTCAATGTGAAACCGGGTGACAGAACAGGCTCAGGAAAGGGTCACTTCTCTGAGGATGAAATGAACATTCCCAGGAGACTGTCAGAACTATAGAGACTCTCTGAGTTACACTCACAGAAGTCTGATATACCACGCTGCTAGGCCCGAGTGAGCTCTTACAAGGGAAGTATACCATCTTTTAGATGAAAAAACTGGCTAAGAGAGGTTAAGTTATTTGCCCCAAATCAGCAGCTAAGTGGCAGAGCCAAGGATCCAAGGAGGAGCTAATGGAAAAAGGCAAGAAAAAGGGACCTAAACGCAGTTCTATAAAAAACATGTGCTTGGGGCGGGGGGGATCAAGAGGAGGGTATCAATGGGGGAAAAAGGAGAAACATCTGTAACAAAAATTAATTAATAATAAAAAATTTTAAAGAGTGCTGACAGCCCTGGCCGGTTTGGCTCAGCGGTTGGAGCGTCGGCCTGCGGTCCGGAGAGACCCGGGTTCGGTTCCCGCTGGGGGCATGTACCTCGGTTGCAGTTTGTCCCCGGCCCTGGTTGGTCGTGCGGGTGGCAGCCACTCGATGTGTCCCTTTCACATCGATGTTTCTCTCTCTCTCCCTCCTGCTCTATCTGAATAAAGAATAAAAAAGTGTCCTTGGATGAGGATAAAAAAATAAAAAAAAAATAAGTTTAAAAAAAAAAAAAAAAGAGTGCTGACAGTAGACACATGTACAATGGGCTACAGAAAGCAAGTGCTTTCTGAAGGGCAAGAACCAGGGAATATTGACATTGGTTTTGAAGAAGTTGTTGGATTTTCCCTCAAGTTAAGGGGGAAAGTCTTTCCAGGAAGGAGAATTAGACACAGGACTTCAGTGCAGCAGAAAGCAATAAATTTCAGATGTAAGAAACTTTCCAATTGAACAAAAGCAGGTGGTTGACTGAAGGATTCCTTTTTGGAGCACTATGAAAATCAGAAGTCTCCAAATGGCCTAAGAATGAATACTCATTTAGTCAGCACATGATGAATATTCCAGGCCTTGTATTAGACCACATATTCAAATAGAGTCCCTGCCCTCCTGGAGCTTATAGTCTGGTGGGAGAGGGGGATGGACAGAGGACATGGGCACAATGTATAAGAAATATGACCAGCCCTGGCCAGTATGGTCCAGTGGTTAGAGCATCAGCCCACTGTCCAAAGGGTGGAAGGTTCACTTCCCAGTCAAGGGCACATCGTAGCTGGGTTGCAGGTTTGATCACTGGCCCCAGTTGGGGTCGTGAGGGAGGCAGCCAATTGATTACATCAATGTTTCTATTTCTTTCTCCCTCCCTCTACCCTTCCCTCCCTTCCACTCTACCCAAAAATTAATGAAAAAATACCCTCGGGTAAGAATTAACAACAACAAAAGACCAAAATCTGCACAAGTGCTGCAAGAAAAGAGTAAGCTGGCTAGATTGGCCTCTTAGAGGTGCTGAGTCAAGTCTTAATGAGAAGTAGTCATCCAAGTGAAAAGGAAAAGAAAAGAATGCTCACCCCCAAAGTCAATAAGGTAGAAACCTTTTCACTTGATTTCATCAGTACTATATCTACCATTCTTTTGGGATTGATTTGTCAGCAATATTTTTTAAATATTACCTTTGTTTCCAAGAACATCAAGAGTATTATGGTAGAGCAGGTAATAAAAGCAAGTTGTGTGTACAACCTACACACCAAAATTGTCTTCCCTAATACTTCTGACTCCAAATGATTTTTTTTTTTTTTGATATTTTGTTCAGATAGAGTAGAAAGGGGAGAGGGGGAGAGGGAGAGAGAGGGGGAGAGAGGGAGGGAGGAAGGGAGGGAGAGGGGGGGAGAGAGAGAGAGAGACAGAGAGAGAGAGACAGAGAGAGAGAGAGAGAGAGAGACATCGACGTGAAAGGGACACGTCGAGTGGTTGCCACCCACAAGACCCAACCAGGGCCGGGGACAAACTGCAACCAAAGTACGTGCCCTTAGCGGGAACCGAACCCAGGTCTCTCTGGACCACAGGCCGACACTCTTAACTGCTGAGCCAAACCGGCCAGGGCCCAAATGATTTTTAAAAAAATGGTTTTATTGATTTTTTAGAGAGGAAGGAAGAGAGATAGAAACATCGATCAGCTTTCTCCTGCACCGCCCCCCTACCGGGAATCAAGTCCATGGGACAACATTCAATCCACTGAGCCACACCAGCTGGGCTCAGGACAAATTTTATAGTCCATCTAGCATAACCAGTTATGGAGACCACTCCTTTCTGATTGAACAAAAATGTTCAATCTGAGAAGCAAACCAAAGATCGCTGTAAGCAACCCTCTTTGTTTCCAAAGTTCCCAGGGATCAGGGATGTTTGGACCTCACAGGAGGAACAAGCCTGCCAGCTACCACCAGAATCTGGGGCTGATTTCCTGGACTTGATCCCCAAACAAATAACCTGTTGGCCTCTCCTAGATTTCCCAGCTCACAGGAAGGGCTCTGAAATTATAACTGGGCTGAGAGCTTGAACAAAAACCATACCTAAAGGAAAAGAAGAAACCTGATGCTTGCTTCGCCCTTTCTTTTGTTGGTGAAACTGAAAACCAAAAGGGCTGACGCTTGTGGGGTGTCGGGAGGCGGGGATCGTGCAGGTAGGAAGACCTAACAAAGATCTGCAAAGAATAAAAGCTACAAAGGAGTAAATGGAGGGGTCTCCGTAGAAGACAGATGTTTTTCTCTAGGACAGGAAGTTATCCTCTGCCAGTTCTTGACTTCATCTTCTGCCTGAAGCAACAGCTTTCCAGCCTAGGCCTGCATTAATAGGCTCTGAGCTTGTCAGACACTGACTTGCTGGACCTCTGGCAGCACTCAGAAACCCTCATGTTATGTTGGGAGAGGTTCCAAATGTGAGAGAGAAGCTGTGTGTGTACAAGGAGACAGAGAAGAGGATAGCACCAAGTCAGTTTTTATTATTCCCAAGATGGCACTTACGTTCTTTCACACTGGGGTTGTCTTCCCTTCACAGAGGAGGGCTCTATAGTTGCTGGCTGGATGCGGGTAACTAGAAAACACAAGAAAAAGACGAAGTGGTATTTGGATGAGTGTTCTCTGGCTGCATGGGCCTTTCCTCCGTCTCCCATAAATGTTGGTGTCCCCAATCCTCTTCTCACTCCTTAGTAGGGCTCATGTCTTCAGTTATCACCTTAAGCACTGATTCTTTCCACCCAGTCTGTAAATTCAACTCCCTCTGTGCATCTCCACAAGTGTGTCCTACAGGTATCTGAGACTCAATGTGTCCAAAACTGTATTTGTCAAATCCAGCTGGCCAGAAATTAAACCAGAAACTTCTTGGTGCATGGGTCGACACTCAACCACTGAGCCACACCAGCAGGGCGAGATACTATATTTAAAGCACTTCACACATCCCAGCCAGTATGGTTGAGTGTCGACCCATGCACCAAGAGGTTGCCAGTTTGATTCCTGGTCAGGGCACATGCCCAGGTTGTGGGCCAAATCCCCAGTGTGGGTCATGCAGTAGGAGCCCATCAGTGTTCTCTCTCATCGATGTTTCTCTCTCTCTCCCTCAAATCAATAAAGCCATCTTGTTTCTGTATATTTTTTCTCACCAGGGACTCAGGGCCCTGGATAACAACTGTTAAAACAAACCAGACTTGTTCACAGTATAATCCATTGGGTCTTTTAAAATCCATCTAAATAAAGTATTTCAGTTCATTTGAGGCATTTCTGAGTATTATCACATTATAGTTTTGACAGGTGATGGGGAGGGGAGTATATCTTCTCCTGTACGCCTAAGAAGCCATCATGGAAAGCTACCTTATATATGTAATAGTGACCAAGATTTGGTATATTTGACTGGGTTAAAAATCCTGTTAGTATTTGTATATATAAAGAAAGATACTATTAGCACTAAATTGTAATGTAAAACCTAAAACTGCAATAATAACACTTTACATACTACCTTGTGGGAGACTTTTTGCATAGCATCCATTTTGTTACAATCTGCTCTGCCATCTCCTGCCCTAAGGCAGGGTCTCTCTGCATACAATGTCTCTGCATTCCTCTAGATAATCATTTACTCTGCTAGCCATTCTTTGCTTATCATTTGTTCCACCTGGGGTATTTACTGGAATTTGCTTCAGGTGGGGTACTCATTTCACCTGATTTTTGCCCTATATAGTGTGAACTCCCTCTGAATAAACGAGACTTGATTAGAACCCTGTCTTGTCTCCATTTCTCATGTCTCTTGTCCCTCCTCATCCTCACTCCCCCTCTAGAGTCCTCGTTGCTCGACCTGCGGGATGGGTCACTACCTGATATGAAAAAGCTTAAAAAAAAAAAGTGTATATATATGTAAATATAGATATATATATATAGAGAGAGAGATAGATTAGATAGATAGATATAGATAGATATTTATCTCTAATTCTTTCTCCAGTCCATACACGTTTACCTCCATTGCCACTGCTCTAGTTCTAACCATTCCTACCAGAACCAGGAATCTCTGCTTCCAGTGTGGCCCCTCTCTCCACAATCCATTCACTTAACCTGATCATGTGACTCCCAGGTTCAAACTCTTGCAGCAGTTCTCTCCTACCCAGGGCAAAGTCCAGACTCCTTAGTATACCCTTCAAAACCTGGCTCCCACATTCCTCATTTTTCCTCCTCATTTCAGGCTCCATGTTTCAGACTTTGCAGCGTGAGCCACCATTTACTGATTCCAGGCCTCTGCACACTTTCCTTTCTCAAATCTCAATCTTACCTAGCTAACTGTTGCTCATCCTTCAGCTAGCACATTAAACTTCTGGCTCCTCCCATGCACTGATAGCTTGTGCACACAGCTACAGTTGTCTGTTTATGTAAGTTCCCCCCATAAACCTGGGTACTTCTTGACTTGAGGTAAGAGCCTGTCATCTGTCTGAACCCCTCACACTAGACTGCCTGCCCCATACATACACACACACACACACACACACACACACGGAGGTAAAGGGGGATCTTGAGAGCTAGAGAAGCATTTCAGTCACTGCCTTCTTCCTTTCCTTCTTGGATCACCCAGAAAAATCATTTCTGGAAAATATCAAAGAACTTTACCATCTTCCCCCACTCTCCCCCAAAAATCCCAATGGCTCCAGACGGGATGCTACTGAAATTATTCCTGTAGAGATAAAAATACTGAGACCTTGGGGAAAATAACAAGCCTGATCAGAACCATAAAGACCTTTCTAAGGGAGGTTCTGCAACCCTGAGTATGGTCAAGCTGAAGGAAAGAGTTAATAACAGCCCCATCTGAAGAAGGTTCAGATTTTAGTATCTCTGTAACAGCTCTGAGGCAACTAAAAGGCATGCCCTGGCTTTCCCAAACCCAAAGCAGGCATCTAAGTAAGCAAACTCTACCCCATTCCAACACTTTTAAGAAGCTTCTCTACAATTCCATAGAAAGGCCTGATCTCCTGGAAAAAATCGTGTTGGTGAGCAAACAAAATGGAAGATGGCAACTAAAACTTACTGAGCATCTAATATGTGCCGGGCTCTTCTGAAAGCTTTCTCACTTAATTCTCCCTATAGTTCAGACGTAGGAATTCATTTTACCGATGAAGAAATTGAGGTCCGGAGAAACAATTTATTCCAGATTACACAGAGAATAAGGGAAGAGTTCAAAGCTGAAACTAAGTCTGGCTCTCTCCAGAACCTGCGCTCTCCACTCTTTCCCCGGGGCGGACACCTCAGTAGTGAAGGTTCAAGATCAACTTCTCTGCAAGAAACAGGGTCTCAGCAGGAGAAACTCACCTCCGCACAAGCACTGAGCGTGAAATAGGTGATAAAATCTCAGCTCAATTTTGAGCCCTGCTAGTGATCCAATAAGCCTCGGCTTCCGGGGTTGGAGGGCCGCAAGGGAAGTGGGCCAGATGGTGAAGGCAGGAACCTGGCCCCAGTCTGGTACAAATGCGAAAACTCCTCCCAGAGGAGGGGCGAGGGACGAACATTTGGCCTCACTAGCCGTGCTGGACTCCGCCCCTGCCCCTGAGAAGGAGCTTGGGGGTGGAAACCAGCGTTGGGGGCCTGCACCTCCACTAGGTGCTGATAGTGGGACTGGCCGCAGTTCAGACACAACCGACCACGCGGGCTTGGAGAAGGCGCTGGCCGAGTGAAACTGGAGCCTCCGCTCACGTTGGGGGTTTGGGGGCGGGACCAGGCCACGCCTCTTCTGGCCCACATTGCATCGCGCGCCCCTGCGACGCCGCTCTAGGCCACTAGAACTCCTCTAGTTAAAGGAAGTGGGGCCCCAAGTGCCGCTTTCTACTATCTGTCTCCGACCTGATGGTGGGTTCCAAGAGTACACCTAAGCTGGCCCAGTTATTTGGTCAGGCAAACTGAGACCCAGAAAACGGCCTCAACACAAAGGTTGACCACAAAAAGGAAGATTTTGGTCCCCAGACTCCAAGAGCTAGAAAGTCTGTGGTTTCTGCCTGGCCTGTGGACCCTGGCCACGCATTCATGTGCCGGGCGCTGTGCTAGACTTCATAAACGTGATTTTATAGAATCTTCACAACAGCCCTGGATGGAAAATGTTCTTTATTTCTTGTAAGACTTTATTGAAATATATAGTATAGCATACATACAGAAAAATGTACAAATCTTAAACTCACCGCTCTTAATGATTTTTTTTGATACGCAACTATCTTTCCTGGTGAATGTCCGATGGCCTGGGGAACTGGCACCAGGCAAAGTGCTCGACCATTGTCTCCTTGCTCAGCCTTGTCTCCCACCCTGAACGGCCTGCCTCGAGCCTATAGATTAACTCCCATCTTATCTATTCATATTCCAGAGGCTCCATGCATAACCCCCGCAGGGCCAAACCCTAAGGGACAAATTCCAGCTGCAACAGGCAGATATAAAAGACACAAGCCCCTACATTGAGCGCGGCTTCTAGGACTCGACCCCCGGAGTCTGTGAACCCGCCCGAAGTGTACCCAATAAAGCCTGATCCCTGTTTATTCGGCTGATTGGCTCTCCAGTCTCTTCTCTGTTTTATTTGGCGGCGCCCCCGATTCCTTACAGTGAGGATAACAGACTCTACGAGCACACTGGAAGCCTGTGAGAAGTATTCAAGGTCTAGTTTACAGATTGGACAGATTCAGCAAGGTAAAATTGCTTGCCCAAAGTCACACAGCTGTTAAGTTACAGATTTGAAATTTGAAATAGCCCTGCCTTTTGGGCTGAGGGGTGTCTTGCATTTGTATGTGTCAACATAAACATTCAAACCTGTAAAGATTTTTTGTGATTTTATTTAAGTGAAACTGTTGACAATTGCTGGGAAGCAAAACGTCAACGCATTGAGGTAATGTTCCAGAGAATATAAATTTTGCACCTTATTTTATACATTACAATAAAGAGAAGAAATAAGTAGGTTACTTGAAATTCATTGGTGATAGATTAGGGAGTAGGGAGAAAGCAAAGTGGGGAAACCCTCTAGGATTGGATAAAAAGTAAGCTGATACATCTTCTACATAGGTAAAACAATTAACATGGTAAAAATAACAATGAGAGGATTTGTAGTCTCTGATCCTTTGTTTCTGCCCTGAGGGGTTCCGAAAAAGGGAGGTTACCCTGCCATTCCAAAGATATGTTACCAGATACAAAAGACAATAGATAGGCTGGAGAGAGAGCAAGAGAGAGAGAGAAATATCCACCTGAAAGGGACATTAGAGCTGAGCCAAACCGGCCAGGGCTAAAGACAGACTTTTGTCAAGGAATATTCTAGTTTAGGACATGACTACCTGCCATAAACTGCTATAGTTAAAAAGTTTTCATTTCAGACCATCCTTTGTGGTTACTTTATTTATTTATTTTGTTTTAATCCTCACCCAAGGATATTTTTCGATTTATCTTCAGATGGAGCTGGAGGGAGGGAGAGATAGGGAGAGAAAGAGAGAAACATCTACTTGAGAGGGACACGTGGATTGGCTGCCTCCCGCACGACCCTGGGGCCAACCTCAACCAAGCCTTTTGTCGGAATCGATCCTGAGACTCATTGGTCCAAGAGCCGACACTACCACTGAGCTAAACCGGCCAGGGCCTTTCTGGTTACTTTAAATCTCTGAGTTTAGCTTTGGTTGGTTTAGCTCAGAGGTTGGAGCGTCGGCCTGCGGACCGTAAAGTCCCTGGTTCGGTTCTTGCTAAGAGCACGTACCTTGGTTGCAGTATGTCCCTGGCCCCGGTTGGGGTTGTTTGGGTGGCAACCACTCAATGTGTCTCTCTCACATTTTTGTTTCTCTTTCTCTCTCTTCCCCCCTCTCTCCCTCCTGCTCTATCTGAAGATAAATGCAAAAATGTCCTCAGGTGAGGGAAAAAAAAGTCTCTGAGTTTACAAGGCCACAAGCCTTCCTTGAACTTGTCAGATTAGCATGTGGCCCCTTTTCATCCATATATTTTCCTTGGCAGGAGTGGGCAAAAAGCAGGATTATCCCAGTGTAGCGCTGCCTTTCTCTCCCTACATCTGTCTCTCCTGCTCCTCTTTATTCCCCGAAAGGTGCAAGTCAGTGGTTCACGGTGCATGGGCATGCTAAGTAGCAATCTCAGGCGGTGAATAAAGAAAAACTGAGTTTATTTAAAGAAAAGGGGGTGTAGGGTTACACATCACCGAGCCATGGGCTATTTGGTCTATGATGGCAGCCCCTTGAAGCTGGAGTTTCATTCTTATGTGCATCCACTGGCGAGAAGCTTTTGTCAGTCAGTGGGTTTTGGGGTCTTGTTTGGTGGGTTTGGGCAGGGATTTGGGTCTACGGGAATGCAGATGTGCGATTGGGTGCTTTTTTGGGTCCTGGTGTTTAGTGGCATTTCTCGTCCGGCCAGTTCTCCTGTGGTGGGAAGTTTGGTCTTTGTTCTCCTGGGGTGGGGAGACTTGCCAAATGGCCATTAGGAATTATATTGCTTGTGTAAATCCTAACACTCCTCTAATGACACTCTTCTCTCCCCCACACCAGATTATTCCCTATTGTCTCAATCAGATAGTGTCCTGATGGACCAAATGTCCATCATTTCACACTATCTGTCTCCATAAAGATACTCAGATTCCAGCTTATGTAGTCAAATTTTAGCATGCCTCAAACTCATACTAGCCTAGCAGACTTATCATTTAGAGACACATGCTGTATATCCCATCCTCCCACCATCTTCTGCATGGTCTGATGAGACTCCCTCCATCTTTTTTTCTGCAGAGTCTGACTTCTTAAAAGTTCGAAGTACATGACCAGCCAGTGTGGCTCAGAGGCTGAGCACCGACCCAATGCACCAAGAGGCTGCTGGTTAGATTCCTGCTCAGGGCACATGCCCAGGTTGTGGGCCCGATCCCCAGTAGGGATCATGCAAGAAGCAGTCAATCAATGTTCTCTCTCATCGATGTTTCTCTCTCTCCCTATCCCTTCCTCTCTCTCTAAAATCAATAAAGAAAAAAAATTGGGGGTGATGGGGAGGAGGGTGTCAATGGGGAAAAAGGAGAAACATCTGTAACAAAAATAAATTAAAATATATATATATACACAAAACTACACAAATAAAAAGAACAAAAATTTTAATAATAAAAAGAAACATTAATGAGAGCCCTGGCCAGTTTGGCTCAGCGGTTAGAGTGTCGCCTGCAGACCAGAGAGTCACGGGTTTGGTTCTTGCTAAGGGCACACACCTCCTTACCATTCATCCCTGGCCGTGGTCGGGGTCGTGTGGGAGGCAACCAGTTGATGTGTCTCTCTCACATTGATATTTCTCTCTCTCTCCCCCCCTTCCTTCCCTTCCACTGTATCTAAAGATAAATGAAAGAAATGCCCTCGGGTGAGAATTTAAAAAAAAAGAAACATCAATGAGAGAAAACATCGATTGGCTGCCTCCTGCATGGTCCCCACTGGGAAATGGGCCCACAACCTGGGCATGTGTCCTGACTGGGAATTGAACCAGCGACCTCTTGGTGCATGGGTTGACGCTCAACCACTGAGCCACACCAGCCGGACATAACCATTCTTTTTATAGTTTAATTAAAATGTTTTATTTTGCCCTGGCCGGTTTGGCTCAGCGGTTGGAGCGTCGGCCTGCGGTCCGGAGAGACCCGGGTTCGGTTCCCGCAATTAGAGCATTGGCCCACGAACCAATGAGTCGTGGGTTCGATTCTGTTCAAGGGCATGTACCTCAGTTGGGATTCGTCCCCGGCCCTGGTTAGAGTTGTGCGGGAGGCAGCCACTTGATGTGTCCCTTTTGCGTCAATGTTTCTCTCTCCCTCTCTTGCTCTCTCTCCCTCCCACTCTATCTGAACAAAAAAGGAAAAAAGTCCTTTGGTGAGGATTAAAAAATTAATTAATTAAATGTTTTGTTTTAATATTATTTTTCTTTTTTTTTTTTTTTATTGTTTTTTTTTTTTTTTTATCCTCACCCGAGGACATTTTTCCATTTTTTACTCAGATAGAGCGGGAAAGAGAGAGAGGAAGAGAGAGAAACATCGATGTGAAAGGGACACATCGAGTGGCCGCCACCCACACGACCCAACCAGGGCCGGGGACAAACTGCAGCCAAGGTACGTGCCCTTAGCGGGAACCGAACCCGGGTCTCTGTGGACCACAGGCTGATGCTCTAACCGCTGAGCCAAACCGGCCAGGGCTTAATATTATTTTTCAATTACAGTTTACATTCAATATTTTGTATCAGTTTTGCGTATACAACATAATGGTTAGATAATTATATACTTTACAAAGTGTTTCCCCTGATATTTCCAAGACCCACGTAGCACTATACATAGTTATTAAAATATTATTATTATTATTTATTTTATTTTATTTTGTATCCTTACCCGAGGACATTCTTCCATTTTTTGTTCAGATAGAGCGGGAGGGAGAGAGAGGAAGAGAGAGAGAGAGAAACATCGACGTAAAGGGACACATCGGGTGGCTGCCACCCGCACGACCAACCAGGGCCGGGGACAAACTGCAACCGAAGTACGTGCCCTTAGCGGGAACCGAACCCAGGTCTCTCTGTACCGCAGGCCGACGCTCCAACCGCTGAGCCAAACCGGCCAGGGCTTAAAATATTATTGACTGCCGGCCGGTGTGACTCAGTGGTT